GGCTGACCAAGTGTTTTAACAACGATGCTGGTTAAATCATTGAATTATCAGAAGTCTGACCAAGTGTTTTAACAACGATGCTGGTTAAATCATTAAATTATCAGAAGGCTGACCAAGTGCTTTAACAACGATGCTGGTTAAATCATTAAATTATCAGAAGTCTGAACAAGTGCTTTAACAACGATGCTGGTTAAATCATTAAATTACAGATACTGCCCATTTACTGTGAAAAGTTCTATTTTTATAGGAACGTTCGTTTATTCTGTGTGAAGTCCCAATGTAATGTTAGACTCAAAAGAATAAGTGGTTAGGTTTATTATAAAATGTCCATCAGAATTTAACAACTATTTCTATTTTTTGCCCTCTCTTAGACTAAATTATAATTTTATGTATGTCATGTGGTCGCAGATTCCTTCCCAGTCCTCTTTGTAGTGAACTGTCCTAATATAGTAATTAAGAACTGTAGTTAACAGCAATGGAGAAAGGCTAAAACACTTATGTTCGTGTATGTTAGCTACTGTTTTTGAAATACAGTTTAATAAAACTTTAAAAATAAACTTTACATCATGTGGATATATTTAGATTCAAAATTCAATTTGAACAGTGTTTGTTTGTTGTAAAGCAAAAAATATTTGTGAATGTGTTCTCGCAGCGGGCATCGAACCCTCGCAGAGAGGCTTTTAGCGATGAATTCTCGGTGAGAACATATTATTAAAACGTAATTGGTAGTAATGAAAAAACTGCAAAAAAAGATTGAACTAAAATTCCTGAAATCATCTTTATGGTATTGTGGACTCAAGTTTTCTATAGACATTAGTTAATAGAACGTTTTCTATAGACATTAATTAATAGAAAACTTAGATAGAATATAGGAACACAAATAAGTTTTCTATAGACATTAATTAATAGAAAACTTAGATAGAATATAGGAACACAAGTAAGTTTTCTATAGACATTAGTTTAGAGAACTTAGATAGAATACTGCAACAAATTTCGAAGTCAAGCTGAAACTTTAAAAACGAAACACTATACCTACCTCATATCAAATTCACGTTCAAAAAGGTTTGACATCCCTTTACTTGTGTTTAATTCCACAATCTCAATATGTCTCTTTTCTAAAAAGAAAAAGAAACTGTCATTAAAGAAAGAAAGTTCATCAACCTGTTTTCACTAGGCAGAAAAACATCTTAGAACACAAGAAGATATATATACTATATAAAAACATCTTAGTATACACAATATACATATAAAATATTCTTATTAGCACGTCGTTATGGTGAAATATAATAAACAAGGTATATTGCCATATAATAACAAATAATCTAGATTAATATGTCATTGTGTTAACAAACAATGACAAGTAATCTGGATTATTAGTATTTTGTTGTATGAAACATAATGACAATGAATCTAGATTAATATGCTGTTGTGTTAACAAACAATGACAAGTACTCTGGGTTATTAGTATTTTATTGTGTGAAACATAATAACAATGAATCTAGATTAATATGTCATTGTGTTAACAAACAATGACAAGTAATCTGGATTATTAGTATTTTGTTGTATGAAACATAATGACAATGTTTTACAAGTAGTGACAAAGATCTTAGAATCATATATCATTTTGCGACACCTACTGACAGAGTCTATATTTGTATATCGTTGTCTTACAAGTAGTGACAAAGATCTTAGAATCATATATCATTATGTGACACCTACTGACAGAGTCTATATTTGTATATCGTTGTCTTACAAGTAGTGACAAAGATCTTAGAATCGTATATCATTATGTGACACCTACTGACAGAGTCTATATTTGTATATCGTTGTCTTACAAGTAGTGACAA